CACATGCACACATGCACACATGCATACGTGCATACATGCACACATGCACACATGCACACATGCATACGTGCATACATGCACACATGCACACATGCACACATGCATACGTGCATACATGCACACATGCACACATGCACACATGCATACGTGCATACATGCACACATGCACACATGCACACATGCACACATGCATACGTGCATACATGCACACATGCACACATGCACACATGCATACGTGCATACATGCACACATGCACACATGCACACATGCATACGTGCATACATGCACACATGCACACATGCACACATGCATACGTGCATACATGCACACATGCACACATGCACACATGCACACATGCATACGTGCATACATGCACACATGCATACGTGCATACATGCACACATGCATACGTGCATACATGCACACATGCACACATGCACACATGCATACGTGCATACATGCACACATGCACACATGCACACATGCATACATGCACACATGCACACATGCACACATGCATACGTGCATACATGCACACATGCACACATGCACACATGCATACGTGCATACATGCACACATGCACACATGCACACATGCACACATGCATACGTGCATACATGCACACATGCACACATGCACACATGCATACGTGCATACATGCACACATGCACACATGCACACATGCATACGTGCATACATGCACACATGCACACATGCACACATGCACACATGCATACATGCATACATGCACACATGCACACATGCACACATGCATACATGCACACATGCACACATGCATACGTGCATACATGCACACATGCACACATGCACACATGCATACGTGCACACATGCACACATGCACACATGCACACATGCATACGTGCATACATGCACACATGCACACATGCACACATGCACACATGCATACGTGCATACATGCACACATGCACACATGCACACATGCATACGTGCATACATGCACACATGCACACATGCACACATGCATACGTGCATACATGCACACATGCACACATGCACACATGCATACGTGCATACATGCACACATGCACACATGCACACATGCACACATGCATACGTGCATACATGCACACATGCATACGTGCATACATGCACACATGCATACGTGCATACATGCACACATGCACACATGCACACATGCATACGTGCATACATGCACACATGCACACATGCACACATGCATACATGCACACATGCACACATGCACACATGCATACGTGCATACATGCACACATGCACACATGCACACATGCATACGTGCATACATGCACACATGCACACATGCACACATGCACACATGCATACGTGCATACATGCACACATGCACACATGCACACATGCATACGTGCATACATGCACACATGCACACATGCATACGTGCATACATGCACACATGCACACATGCACACATGCACACATGCATACATGCATACATGCACACATGCACACATGCACACATGCATACATGCACACATGCACACATGCATACGTGCATACATGCACACATGCACACATGCACACATGCATACGTGCATACATGCACACATGCACACATGCACACATGCACACATGCATACGTGCATACATGCACACATGCACACATGCACACATGCATACGTGCATACATGCACACATGCACACATGCACACATGCATACGTGCATACATGCACACATGCACACATGCACACATGCACACATGCATACATGCATACATGCACACATGCACACATGCACACATGCATACATGCACACATGCACACATGCATACGTGCATACATGCACACATGCACACATGCACACATGCATACGTGCATACATGCACACATGCACACATGCACACATGCATACATGCACACATGCACACATGCATACGTGCATACATGCACACATGCACACATGCACACATGCATACGTGCATACATGCACACATGCACACATGCATACATGCATACATGCACACATGCATACGTGCATACATGCACACATGCATACGTGCATACATGCACACATGCACACATGCACACATGCATACGTGCATACATGCACACATGCACACATGCACACATGCATACATGCACACATGCACACATGCACACATGCATACGTGCATACATGCACACATGCACACATGCACACATGCATACGTGCATACATGCACACATGCACACATGCACACATGCACACATGCATACGTGCATACATGCACACATGCACACATGCACACATGCATACGTGCATACATGCACACATGCACACATGCACACATGCATACGTGCATACATGCACACATGCACACATGCACACATGCACACATGCATACATGCATACATGCACACATGCACACATGCACACATGCATACGTGCATACATGCACACATGCACACATGCACACATGCATACGTGCATACATGCACACATGCACACATGCACACATGCACACATGCATACGTGCATACATGCACACATGCACACATGCACACATGCACACATGCATACGTGCATACATGCACACATGCACACATGCACACATGCATACGTGCATACATGCACACATGCACACATGCACACATGCATACGTGCATACATGCACACATGCACACATGCACACATGCATACGTGCATACATGCACACATGCACACATGCACACATGCACACATGCATACGTGCATACATGCACACATGCACACATGCACACATGCATACGTGCATACATGCACACATGCACACATGCACACATGCATACGTGCATACATGCACACATGCACACATGCACACATGCATACGTGCATACATGCACACATGCACACATGCACACATGCACACATGCATACGTGCATACATGCACACATGCATACGTGCATACATGCACACATGCATACGTGCATACATGCACACATGCACACATGCACACATGCATACGTGCATACATGCACACATGCACACATGCACACATGCATACATGCACACATGCACACATGCACACATGCATACGTGCATACATGCACACATGCACACATGCACACATGCATACGTGCATACATGCACACATGCACACATGCACACATGCACACATGCATACGTGCATACATGCACACATGCACACATGCACACATGCATACGTGCATACATGCACACATGCACACATGCACACATGCATACGTGCATACATGCACACATGCACACATGCACACATGCACACATGCATACATGCACACATGCACACATGCACACATGCACACATGCATACGTGCATACATGCACACATGCACACATGCACACATGCATACGTGCATACATGCACACATGCACACATGCACACATGCACACATGCATACGTGCATACATGCACACATGCACACATGCACACATGCATACGTGCATACATGCACACATGCACACATGCACACATGCACACATGCATACATGCACACATGCATACATGCACACATGCATACATGCACACATGCATACATGCACACATGCATACATGCATACGTGCATACATGCACACATGCACACATGCACACATGCACACATGCATACATGCACACATGCACACATGCATACGTGCATACATGCACACATGCACACATGCACACATGCATACGTGCATACATGCACACATGCACACATGCACACATGCATACATGCATACATGCACACATGCACACATGCACACATGCATACGTGCATACATGCACACATGCACACATGCACACATGCACACATGCATACGTGCATACATGCACACATGCACACATGCACACATGCATACGTGCATACATGCACACATGCACACATGCACACATGCACACATGCGTACATGCACACATGCATACATGCACACATGCATACATGCACACATGCATACATGCACACATGCATACATGCATACGTGCATACATGCACACATGCACACATGCACACATGCACACATGCATACATGCACACATGCATACATGCACACATGCATACATGCACACATGCATACATGCACACATGCATACATGCATACGTGCATACATGCACACATGCACACATGCACACATGCACACATGCATACATGCACACATGCACACATGCATACGTGCATACATGCACACATGCACACATGCACACATGCATACGTGCATACATGCACACATGCACACATGCACACATGCATACATGCATACGTGCATGGATGGGGATCATAAACATGCGGCGATGCAGACACAGAACTTAAACATATAAGAGAGGTAAAAACATATGAAATTGCATGTTGCACATGTGCACGCACGAACGCAGATGAGAATTTAGTCATAAACAGAGATGAGCATTCATAGTCCAACGAGGATTGTCAGTACAATCATATTAAAAAACAAACTAACCCACCTACTTGGAGACGCCGAGCGAGTGCTTGGCTGAAAGGCTATAAACAACTGAAGTCAGTACAAAACGAAATTGAATATTGGGAATTCTCAGAAGTGAAAGGCTTTGAACCGTTCAAAAACCCGAAAGTAATCCCGAACCCAAACTGAGCCCGCGTGCACCTGCTTGACGACATGGGCGTCGAGGGCGGAGAGCGGGTCATCAAAGAACCCCAACCAACCCAAGCCTCGAATTCTGAACCCCAGATCGCACAAACCCCAAGCCCAGAAACATCGTCCCACCTGTTTGGCGACGTGGGCGTCGAGGGCTGAGAGCGGGTCATCAAAGAGGAACACATCGGCGTCGGAGTAGACCGCTCTGGCGATGCTGATGCGCTGCTTCTGCCCGCCACTCACGTTCACGCCCCTCTCGCCTATCTCCGTCAGGTCCCCCCCTGATGGCAGCAGGCGGGAGGAGAGATGGTAATAATGGGAGGGGAGGAGTGGGGAAGGAGGAGAATGGAGCATGAGGAGATGATGAGAGGAATGAAGAGGTGTTGCTGTTTCTGCCCCCCACTCACGGTCACTCCCCTCTCGCCTATCTCCGTCAGGTCCCCCCCTGGTGGCCCAGAGGAGGAAGGGTGGTGGGATTGGGAGAGAAGGGCAGGGAGGAGAGGGGACGACAGGGGCAGACAGGAGTGACAAGGCTTTGCTGATGCGCTGCTTCTGCCACCCACTCACGGTCATCCCCCTCTCGCCTATCTCCGTGGGTCCCCTCCTTGAGCAAGGCTGGGTGAGTGGGACAGACTAGACGAGGGGCTTGAAGCGATAGTGTTCATTTCATGGGTGCCGAGGCCGAAACTACTCACGTTCGCCTCAATCCCTACATTTCAAACCCCACAATTAAAACCCTAAACCACGGAAGAGGAGCGCAGAGGGCAGTGGAGGAGAGAGCAGGCACTGATGCAAATGCATTGCTCCTTCTGCCCCAGCTTCAACAAGGCACGGGACACGCACCTGGCAGCAGCAGCTTCGGGTCTCATTCAAGGGCGCTGGCTTTCACCCCCTGAGATGATCAGTGAGACAATTTCAAAATCATCTCTCAGGCCCGTTGCAATTCTTTTGTTCTCAACAAGACACGGCACGGCACACGCACCTGGCAGCAGCTCCAGGTCTCTCTCCAGGGCGCTGACTTCAACTGCCCGCTCGTACCGCTGCTTGTCATAGGGCAGCCCGAACAAAATGTTATCGCGCACTGTAGCGTTGAATATCCAGGAGACCTGTGCGCCACATGCCACGTGGCAGCATGTCATTGGAGGAGAGCAACATGAGGAGGGCAGATAGAACACTGAAAACATGAGATGGCTCAAGGAATGGGCAGATAAAACAGACCGGTGAGTAAATATGCACTTGTATACGCTTATGTTATAAACGGGTACAATACGAACCTGCGAGACATAGGCCACGCGGCCTCTGATGATTGGAGGAGAGTCTCCTGACACCATGGGCATCTCGCCCAGCAGTGCACTGACCAGCGACGACTTGCCTTGCCCTGATGGGGTGGGGTGGGATGGAATGGGTGAGGAACGCCAGCGAGAGTAAGGATGGCCTTCCAGTCCCCTGAAAGACACCATGGCCTCCCTTAAGGTGCTCACACGATCCTCACCCGCCCTCACCCACAGTGACCCGCCCTGACCCACCCTGACCCACCTGACCCGCCCTCACCCGCCCGGTTCACCCAGCATGCCGTACCTGTGGCGCCCACAACAGCCACCAGCTTCCCAGGCTCCACCAATAGAGTCACATCCGTTAGCGTGCCCCCCACGTCCTTCTCCTTCCCCTCCCCCCCCACTCCACCCTTCTCTTTGCCTTCTCCCCCTCCTCCTGCCCTTCCCCTAGCAGCACCGTTGGCAGTAGCAGCAGTTGGAGCCCTGTTAGCAGGAGCAGTGGGAGCACTGTTAGCAGCACACCAGGCAAAGGAGGCATGGGAGACCTCGACTGCAGGTTTGGTAGGGTCGACGGGCAGCGCAGGGGCGTCAATGTCTGTTTCGTCTGCCAGTAGCATCTCCTGCAGGCGCGTGAGAGACACGTTCACGTTCACCACCTGGTGGGGGGTTGCAACAGAAGGGTAGATGGGGGGGGTTGGAGGAGGGATGAAGAGGATAAGTGGCGGGAGCATGGCCGTCAATGCCCACCATATCTGCCAGTAGCATCTCCTGCAGGCGCGTGAGAGACACGTTCACGTTCACCACCTGGGGAATGGGAGTGTTGGAGGGGTTGCAGAGGAGAAAGAGGCGGAGTGAAGCGATGAAGGATGGGGGGGCAGGGGACCAGGGGTGTCAATGTCCGTCTCGTCTGCCGGTAGCATCTCCTGCAGGCGCGTGAGAGACACGTTCACGTTCACCACCTGGTGGAAGGGTGTAACAGAAGGGTAGATGGGTGGTGGGGGAGGTGGGGGGGTTGGGTTGGGGGATGCCGAGGAGGATAAGAGGAGGGAGCAGGGACGTTGGTGTCCGTCTAATGTGCCAGAAGCATCTTCTGCGGGCACGTTCACGTTCACCACCTGGTGGGTGGAGGGGTGTAACAGAAGGGTAGATGGGGGGGTTTGGTTTGGAGGAGGGATGAAGAGGATAAGTGGCGGGAGCATGGCCGTGAATGCCCACCATATCTGCCAGCAGCAACGCCTGCAAGCGCGTGAGAGACATGTACTCGTTCACAACCTGGCAAGTTGGAGAGTGTTGAAGAGATTGCTGCAGGGGAAAGAGAGGGGGAGTGAAGGGATGAACGATAGGGGGAAGGGGCGCCGTCTCATGTCCCAACAGCATCTCCTGCAGGCGAGTGAGAGAGGGCGCATCTCCGAAAACAAGATCGGGACAAGACAAGGGTACCCAATCAGAAGAATCCAAGGGACAAGATGCACTAATAGGACGCTACACACTACTCTGGGGGTGATGAGGTTGGGGACCAGACAAGACAGTACCCAATCACAGAAGTCTGCACTGCCTAAGAAGAGCTGAAATACAGCCCTGGGTGATGAGGTTGGGGACTCACTTGGGTGATGAGGCTGGGGAACATGTGGAGGGGGGGGGGGACCAGAGACTCGCATAGCAATGAGCTGAGCATTCACTTGGGTGATGAGGTTGGGGAACATGTGGAGGGGGTAGTGCAGCACAGCGAAGAGGGAGATGGAGGTGAAGGTCTTGGCGGCTGTGAGCTGGTGGCCCAGCAGCGAGTAGCAGCCGAACGACACCACTGTCACCAGCACTGGCAGCACACTCATCAGCAGGAAGTTGATCTGGTGAGGGGCGGAGGAAGAGGAACGAGGGGGAAGGTAGAGTCTCCACTCACAAATCAGTGACACCAGTGTCACCACCACCACCATCACCAACACCAACAAGTTTGTCCAAGTGGGTAGTTTCTCACATTTGATCTTAGAGGTTGTGGGTTCAACTCTCAGCAGTTGCACTTTCCATTTGCATTATGCTCACCATGATATGTCCACACTCCACCACACTCAGCTGCATTGTGGGTGAGTGTGGTGGAGTGTGGACATGTCATGGTGAGCATAATGAGAATGGTAAGTGCAGCTACGAAGAGTTGAATCCATGACCTCTAAGACCAAAGGTGAGAAACTACCCACTAAGACGTATTTGTTGCACAACACACTAACCACTGTGCTTGCGCTGCAGCACACGACCTACTGTTGTGGTGAACTGTGCCTTCATACCGCACACGACCTACCCCATCTCGTCCACTCCACCTTGTCATACCACACACAACCTACCCCATCTCGTCCACTCCACCTTGTCATACCGCACACAACCTACCCCATCTCGTCCACTCCACCTTGTCATACCGCACACAACCTACCCCATCTCTCCACTCCACCATGTCATACCGCACACGACCTACCCCATCTCGTCCACTCCACCTTGTCATACCGCACACAACCTACCGCCATGATGTATTGCGCCATCTGTCCCATCTCACCCTCTCCACCTCATCACACCGCACACAACCCACCGCCATGATGTATTGCGCCTTGGAAATCTGCCCCATCTCGTCTGCTCGAACGCGCGCCACCTTGCTCTGAAAGCTCCCCTCCCACGTGTACAACTTGACGACGTCCATGGCTGCCAGCACCTCGCTCATGAGCGCCACTCGTTTGTCGCTGCGCTGCAGTGATGCCTTCACCAGCTTCTGTACCCTATTCACACAACCTACCCCATCTCGTCCACTCCACCTTGTCATACCGCACACAACCTACCCCATCTCTCCACTCCATCATGTCATACCGCACACGACCTACCCCATCTCGTCCACTCCACCTTGTCATACCGCACACAACCTACCGCCATGATGTATTGCGCCATCTGTCCCATCTCACCCTCTCCACCTCATCACACCGCACACAACCCACCGCCATGATGTATTGCGCCTTGGAAATCTGCCCCATCTCGACTGCTCGAACGCGCGCCACCTTGCTCTGAAAGCTCCCCTCCCACGTGTACAACTTGACGACGTCCATGGCTGCCAGCACCTCGCTCATGAGCGCCACTCGTTTGTCGCTGCGCTGCAGTGATGCCTTCACCAGCTTCTGTACCCTATTCACTATCACTGCCTGATGTTTGCGGGGGAAGAGGGGCAAAGTGTGAGGAGGGGAAGGGAGAGAGGAGGGGAGAAGAGGGAGGACGGGAGAGGAGAGAGGATGGGAGGGGAGGAAAGAGAAGGAGAGAGATGAGGCGGGGAAAGACGAGACGTGTACGAATTGACGACGTCCATGGCTGGCAGCACCTCGTTCATGAGCGCCACTCGCTTGTTGCTGCGCTGCAGTGATGCCTTCACCAGCTTCTGCACTCGATTGATTATCATTGCCTGGTGGTGGGGAGAGAGGGTGAGGAGGGAGAGGGAGGGAGGCAGGGAGAGAGGAGGGTTGGGAGGAGGGAGGAGGGAAGGGAGGAGAAGAAAGAGGAGGTTAGAGGCATGAGGAGAGCCACGGAGAATGAAAGGAAGAGAAGAATGTCAGAAGACCTGCACTGGGGATGCCAAATTGATCCTAGAGAAGGGTTACAGGCACGTTTGCCTGGTGGTTTATGGACGCACTCGCCCGTTACTTAACAAGCTCTTTTATCCCAGTGGTGTTGTGGCTGGGATTTTGACAAAGTAGGCATGGAAAGAGAGGCACGGGGAAAGAGGTCTTTTTCAGCTGAGCTTATGGGAAAGCAAGCGGATGCAAATGAGGTTCCCTGAGAGGCCGACTATACCCGACTGCACTATGTTAGTGTTAGCGCTCAATCTTAACTTTTGTACTTGCATTTTTTATATCATAGATTAGGGTAGTTTGTACTTTATGTTGGTTGGGTGTACACCCACATCCCAACCAAACCCACTAATTGGAGATTTTAGCTGACTTCTTGTGATTGCCTCCAATTTCCGCCCCATCCATTCCTTGTTCATTTCGAATGTACGTAAGAGCCTTGAGCTCATTACTAATGCACCACTTCAAGCTCAATCTCTTACACACTGTACCATACCATTAAAAGGAAGCAAACCAGGTCTCACTCACCTTGGCGGGGATCATGAGACGTGTCAAAAAGCGAACCATCAGTCACAACCGCCAGGTTTCACTCACCTGGGCGAGGATCATGAGGAGCAGCATTAGCAGGCCGAGCAGAGACGACACCCCCAGCTGCTGGTAGAGCAAGAAGATGCAGACGAGGATTCGGAGAGGCGCCGACCAGAGGCCGTGCAACTGCTGACACACCTGGGAGAGGGGAGAGAGCAGCATGAGAAAGGGAGAGGGTGATTATAGAGGAGTGAGAGAGCAATTCAACAGTTTTTATACACTTTTGATAGACGAGGTAGAGCAAAAATCATTGGTTCATTGTACTGCTGCTAGCGCCACAAACTAAAACGTGTCACAAAAACTGCGTGCACCACACCGCCCCACCCTACACCGCACCGCACCGCACCGCACCACACCACACCGCACTCGCATCTCATTGCACCCTACCATTTGCAGCGACTCAGCGTCGTTGGTCATCATGTTGGTGATGCGCCCCGTGCTGAAGCCCTGCCGCCCACTGTGACTCAACCGCAGGGACTTGCTGAACACTGCTGCTACCTGCACATGGAACGGGTCACGGCACAGAAAAGAGGATGGCGGAGAAAAGGGGACACTGCTTAGCACAGCCACAGGGACTTGCTGAACACCGCTGCCACCTGTGCATAGGACAGCAGGACAGGACGGCGGGATAGGAGGAGTACATCGGTGGGTGGACTAGATTTGAGACAACTTCTCAAGGAAGAGGAGGTTGGGATGGGGAGACCATGGGGATGAAAAACTCATTGAACTCTTCTCACCCCATCGTTCTCGTCCGTGCGTGTTTTACTCGATTAGCGGACTGATTGTGAAGTGAGAGTGGCGGATATTGGACGTGGATGGGAAGGAATGTCGGGATAGGATAGAAGGCAAGGAAAAAAAGGGTGCAACCCCCCACAGTGCAACCCCCCACAGTGCAACCCCCCACAGTGCAACCCCCCACAGTGCAACCCCCCAACAGTGCAACCCCCCCAACAGTGCACCCCCCCCAACAGTGCACCCCCCCCACAGTGCACCCCCCCCCACAGTGCACCCCCCCCCATAGTGCACCCCCCCCCACAGTGCACCCCCCCCCACAGTGCACCCCCCCCCACAGTGCACCCCCCCCCACAGTGCACCCCCCCCTACAGTGCACCCCCCCCCACAGTGCACCCCCCCCCACAGTGCACCCCCCCCCACAATGCACCCCCCCCCACAGTGCACCCCCCCCCACAGTGCACCCCCCCCCACAGTGCACCCCCCCCCACAGTGCACCCCCCCCCACAGTGCACCCCCCCCCACAGTGCACCCCCCCCCACAGTGCACCCCCCCCCACAGTGCACCCCCCCCCACAGTGCACCCCCCCCCCACAGTGCACCCCCCCCCACAGTGCACCCCCCCCCCACAGTGCACCCCCCCCCACAGTGCACCCCCCCCCACAGTGCACCCCCCCCCACAGTGCACCCCCCCCCACAGTGCACCCCCCCTCACAGTGCACCCCCTCCCACAGTGCACCCCCCCCCACAGTGCACCCCCCCCCACAGTGCACCCCCCCCCAACAGTGCAACCCCCCCAACAGTGCACCCCCCCCACAGTGCACCCCCCCAACAGTGCACCCCCCCAACAGTACAACCCCCCCACAGTACAACCCCCCCACAGTACAACCCCCCCACAGTACAACCCCCCCACAGTACAACCCCCCCACAGTACAACCCCCCCACAGTACAACCCCCCCACAGTACAACCCCCCCACACCACAGTACAACCCCCCCACAGTACAACCCCCCCCCCAGTGCAACCCCCCCCAGTGCAACCCCCCCCAGTGCAACCCCCCCCAGTGCAACCCCCCCCAGTGCAACCCCCCCCAGTGCAACCCCCCCTAGCGCAACCCCCCCTAGTGCACAGCACAGCACGCTGCCGACCGACCACCCGTGGCCTGCCAACCAACATCATGACACCCCGCACCGCAGGGCACCACAGAGCACCGCAGTGCACAGCACAGCACACTTCCAACATACATACCATGGCTTGTCGCAGCTGGAAGCCGACGCGCATGACACTCTGGAAGTACTGCGCCTCACAGATCACCCCGCCCACCTGGTGCCCAGGGGGTGCAGGAGAGGGGTGGTGTGCGGTGATACAGGGTTAACGGGGGTGATGTACAGTGCTAGGGTATTAATGGGAGTTGAGTGGTCATAGAAGCCTCTCAAGCGCATGGCACTCTGGAAGTAATGCGCTTCACCGATCACCCCGCCCACCTGGTGCCCAGGGGGTGCAAGAGAGGGATGATGTGCGGTGCTAAGAGGTTAATGGGGGTGGTGTGATCACGAAGTTTATCAAGCGCGCATGACATTTTGGAAGTACTGTGCCTCACAGATCACCCCGTCCACCTGGAGGCTGGTGCCGAGGGATGCAGGGGACGGGGGGAGGAGTGGTGTGCGGTGCTGAGGTGTTGAGCCACGCCTGGGTGCATGCCAGCTCATCATGCCGGCCAGCCAAATGAAGAACAATACGAGGGTGGCGCACTTGGGCCTCGTCATTCACTCCCAGGAAAGATGATGGTGGGATGGACGTGTCATGTAGCCGTGCCATGAAGGCTCTGCGAAATTCATAACTGGCCCTCGACCACTGAACCCTAAGCCGTGTTTTGAGCCGACTCAAAACTTGACCACTGAACCCTAAGCGCTGGCCCCTGACCCTTAAAGCTAGAAAGAAAGACGGTACCGTAGATGGGTGGGGGAAACCCTGGTCCCACGACGGCGATGGTAGCGTAGATGTATCCGTGCCATGCAGGCATGGTGTGCCAGGACCCTGAAACTCCCCATACTCTATCCACATGGTGCCATGCAGGCTTGTCAAAAGGCACGCAGACCCCGGACCCCTAATCCTCCATGCGTGGTGTGCCGTGGCTTGTGCACCAACATACCAGTCCCAGGAAGATAATGCTGGCATAGATGTAGCCGTGCCAAGCCGGATCGCCCGACTGCAAGGGGCTGACCTCTGACCCCTAACCCTCCATGCATGGGACACACAAGCAAACCGGGTCACACAGGCGGGTGTGGGCGCATCATACCAGCCCCAGGAAGATGATGCTGGCGTAGATGTAGCCATGCCAAGCTGGCTCGCTCGACTGCATGGCTGACAGCAGGCGGCTGAGCATCAGCGGGCCCACAAACTGAGACGCATCGTTGCCGATCTGATGGGGTTGGAGTGGGATGGGATGGGGATGGGGATGGGGCCAGCAGCGAACAGGCAGGGAGGCATGAGCGGCCCCAAAGACTGCATGGCTGACAGCAGGCGGCTGAGCATCAGCAGGCCCACGAACTGAGACGCGTCGCTGCCGATCTGATGGGGTGGTGCGATTTGGATGAGGATGGGGATGAGGATGGGGATGGGGATGGGAGCAAGGCGGGAGGAAACGACGTAGGGATGGGTAGCAACGGATACATCATGCAGGGTTTGCAGGCATGCCATGCGAAGGCACGGGATGTGATGGCACGGGATGTGATGGCATGGGATGGAATAGGATGGCATGGAATGGTGGAATTATGTGTTAAAATGTATATTGTGTAGCATGCCAACACATGTGACTGTACACCAATTGTGGTGTACAGTTGGGTTGGGACTACACCCAACTTTGGGTGTAGTCTTGCACTTTGGGGTGCCAATCCACCCAATTGTGGTGGAGCCCCCAAATGCAACCCTCTTGACTTGTGGGTACCTCACTTCCCACAATTGAGGTTACCCCAAGCCAAGTGGGCCTAGGGTTGCCTCACTTCTACAAAGTGTGGGCAACCCAACCCACTTGACCTATGGTTCCCTCACTTCCCCAAGTGAGGTCAACCCAACCTATGGTCACTTTCATCCTTCCCTTCCAACCTTCCCTTCCAACTATGTATGCTAGGTTGTTCCTCTAATCTGACCACTTGTTCAATTTGCTACTTTCACATGGTATAGAGCTACTTGTTCCTAGGCCTTACCTCTCCCTCCCTTCAGTTTTTTTTTTTTTTTTTTTCCCATGGGCCCACCCCACAGCTGCAAACCCTTTCCTACGCGTGGCTCAACTAGCCATCACTAGCATACTCTCGCCGCGACCTACGCCGTCGCCGCCGTTCCCCCCCCCTCCCGCCGCGATTACGCCTTCCTCGCCTGCGGATTCCACCGCCGCGAGCGCAACGCCGCTGTCCCCTCCTCCCCCCCGCCGCGACCCCCTGTCGCCGCCTCCCCTTCTCGCCGCCGCGCCTGATTCGGTGCCGCCTGCGCATCCTGCCGCCGCGACGCCTCGTCGCCGCCTGCCCGCTGCCCGTCCCTCCGCCGCGACGTCACGTCGCCGCGTTCCCGCCGCCGCGCCTGCTACGGCACCGCCTGCGCATCCTGCCGCCGCGACGCCTCGTCGCCGCCTGCCCGTCCCTCCGCCGCGACGTCTCGTCGCCGCGTTCCCGCCGCCGCGCCTGCTACGGCGCCGCCTGCGCATCCTGCCGCCGCGACACCTCGTCGCCGCCTGCCCGTCACTCCGCCGCGACGTCTCGTCGCCGCGTTCCCGCCGCCGCGCCTGCTTCGGCGCCGCCTGCGCATCCCGCCGCCGCGACGCCTCGTCGCCGCCTGCCCGTCCCTCCGCCGCGACGTCACGTCGCCGCCTCCCCTTCCCGCCGCCGCGCCTGCTTCGGCGCCGTCTGCCCGTCCCGCCGCCGCGACAGCTCGTCGCCCCCTGCCCGTCCCGCCGCCGCGACCTAACATCGCCGCCTGCGTATTCCGCCGCCGCGACTGCTCGTCGTCACCTCCCCGCCCCCACCCCCCCCCCCCCCCCCCGCCGCGATTTCGCATTGCCGCCTCCCCTCCCACCGCCGCACCTGCTTCCGCGTCACCCACGCATCTCGCTGCCCCTTCTGCATCGCCACCCTCCCGCAATTTCCCCCGCCGCAACTGCAACATCGTCGCCCCGCGGTTCCCGTTAACGCCACTGCGCCGCCGCCGCCCTACCGCCGCGACTGCTTCGGCGCCGCCTGCCCATCCTCCACCGCGACCGCGCCATCCCCGCCCACACTTCCTGCCGCCGTGACTGCCCCGTCGCCGCCTGCAGATTCAGCCGCAACTGCACCCTCCCTTCCACCTCTCCCTACTCCTCTCCCCCCCCCTCCCCCTCCCCCTGCGCCCCTCGTTGCCGCGGCCTGCCTGCCGCCGCCGTCCCTCGTTTCGCCGCCGCGGCCCTTCCGCCGTCTCCTGCGCCCCTCGTCGTCGCGGCCTGCTCGCCGCCGCCGCCCCCGACTTTGCCACCGCCTCCCCTTCCCGCCGCCGCACGTTCGCACAGCCGCCTGCGCCCTTGTCACCGTCGCTCCCTGCACCTTGAACGCCTCTGCCCTCCACCGCTGTCTCCCTCCTTTACCCCCCCCCCCCCCCCCCCTCCCTCCTCCTGCCAGCGGCAGCATCAGCGGCAGCAGGGGAAGTGCAGCAGCCTCCGCAGCAGCAACTTCACCCTTGGCCGCCGCGGGTCCACCCGCCGTCGCCCATCATGACTGCTACCCCCCCTGCCCCTCTCCCCCCTCCTCACTGGAGCAGTGTTACTCCTCGCCCCTCCCTTCTCAACACTCCGACCCTCCACTCCTCCCCCCCCCCTTATCTCCGCCTGCTCACCCCCTCCCCCCCTCCCCATCTGCGGCGTTTCCAGCAGCTCCAGCATCAGCAGCAGCAGGACTTCCAGCAGCGGCAGCAACCACAATTTCTCCAGCCGCACCCCCCACATCTCCTCCAGCCGCGGCAATCGCAGCAGCAGCAGTTCTTCCAACACCAACAGCAGCCGCAATCTCTCCAGCCTCACCCGCCACGGTTTCTCCATCCCCAGCAGCAGCAGTCCTTCCAGCCACAGCAGCAGCAGTCCTTCCAGCAGCAGCAGCTGCCACAGTTCCTTCCACCGCAGCAGCAGCAGTCCTTCCTGCAGCAGCAGCAGCCACAGTCTCTTCAGCCGCAGCAGCAGCAGTGCTTCCAGCAGCAGCAGCTGCCACAGTTCCTTCCGCCGCAGCAGCAGCAGTCCTTCCAGCAGCAGCGGCAGCCACAGTTTCTTCAGCCGCAGCAGCAGCAGTGCTTCCAGCAGCAGCACCAGCCACAGTTCTCTCCATCCGCAGCAGCAGCAGTGCTTCCAGCAGCAGCAGCCACCACAATCTCTCCAGCCGCAGCAACCGCGGCAGCATCGGCGGTGCTTCCAGCAGCAGCAGCAGCCCAATCTCTCCAGCCGCAACCGTCACAGTCTCTCCCACCGCAGCAGCCGCAGCAGCAACAGTACTTACAGCAGCAGCACCCGCCGCTCTCTCCCTCTTCTATCCATGAAACAACTCTCCAGTACTCTGTGTTCCCTCCCTCTCCTCCCCCCCCCACCCTGGACTTTGTCCTTGACAGTGGGGCCACCGAAACCGCACTAAAAGACGCTGGCACCCTCACCCCCCTTCCACTTCCCACCCAGGTTCATGGTGCCGACTCCAGCTTTTCCATCCCCTGCACTCACCTCTCCACCCTTCCTTGCACCGCCTTCCCATCCGGTACAGTCACCGTTCTCCACATCCCTACCCTTCGCAATAACCTCCTCTCCCACCGTGAACTCCAAGGCGTTGGCATTACCGCCATATACCCTGGCTTTGCTTCCTACTGCGATCTCTACCACACCGCCTCTGGTCGTTTCCTCCTGCGCATTCCCCTTTGCCCTCGCACTCGCCTTTACACGCTCCGCACACCCCGTCCCTCCTTTTGTCACGTCACCACTCGTGCTGGTACTTCCACCGGTCCCCTTCTCCCTCCCCCTCACCCTCCCCCTCCCCCTCCTCCGATATCCTCCTCCTCTACTCCATCCGCCTCCTCCTCCCCCCCCAACTTTTCCCCCACCCCATCCCCCTCCTCCTCTACTGCCCTCTCCCATCCTGCAATGCTCCTACATCACAGACTCGGCCATCCCAACTTCGCCGCACTTCGCTCCACCGTCACCTCTTGCCTCCTTAATAGCCTTCCTCCCACCTTACCTCCCCTCCCCTCCTCCCCTGCTCCCCCATGCCCATCATGCATTCATGGCAAGCTCAAACAGTCCCCCCATCACAGTCATCCCACCTTCGCTCCCGCCCCCATTGACCTTGTTCACATGGATCTCTGGGGCCCTTATCCCATCCGCTCCCGTCAGGGGTACAGGTACATGCTCGTGCTCGTCGACGACCACAGTCGGTACTCCACCGTCTTCTTTCTTCACATGAAAGACCAGGTGCCGGCTGTGGTCATCAACTGGGCTGAGCAGTGCCGCAACCACTTCAAACGTCCCATAGGCCGCCTTCACTCTGACGGTGGGGGTGAGTTCATCAATCATACTCTCTCCACTTACTGCAAAACATACGGCATTCAGCAGACCACCACCCTTCCCCACTCCCCTCAGCAAAACGGCATCGCTGAGAGTCGCATCCGTGAGATCACCAAGATTGCGCGCTGCCTCATTGCTCACGCCTCCACCCCTCCCTCCCTCTGGAGCTATGCCCTCATTCATGCCGCCCTCCTCCTCAATCTCCGCTCCCACCCTCAGCATCCCTCCTCCTCCCCCACAGAACTCTGGTCCAAGGCCAAGCCTGACGCCGCAGGCCTTCGTGTTTGGGGCTGCAAGGCGTTCGTCCTCATTCCACCGGCCGACCGCTCCCGCGCTGCTGGCAAGCTCGCTCCTCGTGCTCTGGAGTGCGTCTACCTTGGGCACAATCGTGATTCCCCAGGCTACCTATTCCTCCACCCTCCCACCAATCGCCTCATCCGCAGCATTGACGTCGTCTTCGACGAGTCCACTCCCTACTACTCCACCCCTCCTCCTGACCCCCTCCCTCCTCCCACTCGCCCCCTCGCTTGGACCGACACCATCCTCCCGCCTCTTATCCCTCCAGCGCCTCTCCTCCCACCTGTCGCCGCCCCACTCCCGCCTTCCTCCTCTGCCGACGTCTACGACCCTGCCGCACCCGCCTCCCCCGCTCACTCAGCTGCACCCCCTCCCCCCTCTCCCTCCTCCTCTCATTCTCCTCCTTTCCAGCAGCCGGATCAGCAACAGCAGGGGCAGCAGCAGCAGCAGCAGCCGGATCAGCAACAGCAGGGGCAGCAGCAGCACCAGCAGCAGCAGCAGCAGCAGCAGCGGGAGCAACACCAGCAACGGCAGCAGGGGCAGCAGCAGCAGCAGCCGGGGCAGAAGCAGCAGCAGCAGCAGCAGCAGCAGCAGCAGCAGCAGCAGCAGCAGCAGCAGCAGCAGCAGCAGCAGCAGCCGGAGCAGCAGCAGCAGCAGCAGCAGCAGCCGGGGCAGCCGCATCAGCAGCAGCCGGGACAGCAGCAGCAGCAGCAGCATCAGCAGCAGCAGCACCAGCAGCAGCAGCGGCGCCGTGCCACTTCCCGCTCCTCCCCCTTCCTCCTCCCTTACATCCATACCCGCTCGGTGGACAAAATCCTTGGGGCTCCTCCTCCTGCCTCCATTCAGCTCCTTGAGGACTCCCATGAGGAGTTCCTCAACATTCGGGAGCACACTCCATTCCTTGCCGCCCTCTACCTTGACTTCCTGGGCTTTCCTGTCCTTGGCGCCACTACTACCCCCACCATCTTCACTCCCTCCACCTTCCAGGAAGCCATCACCTGCCCTGATGCGGATAAATGGATAGCAGCGATCTTCCTGGAGTGTGAGGCTTTCATTTGCAACGACTCCTTTGTCGATGTCCCCCTCCCTGCTGGCGCTAATCTCGTTGACGGCAAATGGGTCTTTCGGGTGAAGCAGCTGCCGGGCGAGGAACCAGTGTACAAGGCCCGCTACTGCGCCAAGGGGTTCACGCAGACTTGGGCTGAGGACTACTGGTTCACCTACGCCCCCACCGCCAAACCACCCACCCTTCGCGCCGCCATGGACATTGGTGCACGTGACGACATGGAAATCGACTCCATGGACGTCTCCAATGCGTTCCTGCAGGGCGACCTGCATGAGCGCATTTTCCTCCGGCGACCCCCCGGGTTCCACGCAGCCTTTCCTGAGAACACTGTCTGGCAGCTGCGTCGCCCCGTCTATGGCTTGAAGCAGGCACCACGTGAGTGGCATGCGAAGCTGGCTGCCACCTTGGGGTCCCTCGGCTTCTCTGCTTCCCACTCCGACGCCAGCCTCTTCATCCGCTCCTCCCCCCGCCGCTTCTTCATTCTGGTATATGTCGACGACATGATCCTGCTCTCTGACACCAAGGCCGACATGGAGCAGGTGAAGCTGTCCCTGCAGCAGCGGCTCAAGTGCAAGGACCTTGGCGCCCTCACTCACTACCTCGGCATGACCATCACGCGCAACCGCCCTGCTCGCACAATCACCCTCTCCCAGTCCCATTACATCGGCCAGGTCTTGGAGAAGTTCGACATGGCGCAAGCCAAGCTTGTTTCCACCCCGCTCCCCTTCGGTCACCAACTCGCTCCACCCACCTCCCCCACCTCCTCCCCCCACCCCTATGCCGAGCTCGTTGGGTCCTTGATGTACGCAATGATGTGCACCCGCCCCGACCTCGCCTACCCCATCAGCGTGCTCGCTCGCTTTGTCGGCACCGGTCGTCACTCTGAGGAGCACTGGAAAGCTGCCAAGCGGGTCCTCCGCTACCTTCGCGGGACCAGGGACCTTGCCCTCACCCTCGGCGGCCCTTCCCGTCCCCTTCTCTCGGGCTTCAGTGACTCCTCATGGGCTGACACGCAGCCGGACCGCCGCTCCTCCCAGGGCTACGGCTTCACCCTTGGCAGCGGCCTCATCAGCTGGCGCTCCACCCGCTCCTCCGCCATCTCTCTCTCCACCTGCGAAGCCGAGCTCTACGCTGGCACCATGGCCGCCCAGGAGTCGTGGCTCTGCTTCCTTCTTGCGGAGCTTGGCGCCCCCCAGACGTGCCCCACTCTCTGGTGCGACAACGCCAGCACCATCCATTTCACTCAGGACCCCGTCTATCACGCCCGCTCCAAGCACATCGAACTCCGCTACTTCTTCGTTCGCGAGCTCGTCCAGAAGGGCCTCATTGCCGTTCGCAAGATTGCAACCGAGGCCAACTTGGCCGACATCTTCACTAAGGCCCTCCTTCGCCCCGCGCACTCTGCCTTCCTCCGCCTCATTGGCCTTGCTCGCCCGGGCGCCCCTTGATTCAGGGGTTGTTCTCTTCTTGTGTTAGCATGCTAAGGGGTTGTGTTAAAATATATATTGTGTAGCATGCCAACACATGTGACTGTACACCAATTGTGGTGTACAGTTGGGTTGGGACTACACCCAACTTTGGGTGTAGTCTTGCACTTTGGGATGCCAATCCACCCAATTGTGGTGGAGCCCCCAAATGCAACCCTCTTGACTTGTGGGTACCTCACTTCCCACAATTGAGGTTACCCCAAGCCAAGTGGGCCTAGGGTTGCCTCACTTCTACAAAGTGTGGGCAACCCAACCCACTTGACCTATGGTTCCCTCACTTCCCCAAGTGAGGTCAACCCAACCTATGGTCACTTTCATCCTTCCCTTCCAACCTTCCCTTCCAACTATGTATGCTACGTTGTTCCTCTAATCTGACCACTTGTTCAATTTGCTACTTTCACATTATGGGCATACGATACACGCTGGGGCACCCACGAAGGGAGGGCGGGTGGGTGTTCTTGACACGAAACAACTGGACAGGCATGAGAGTGCAATGGTCAGCATGTAGTGTAGAATGCAGCTCTCCCTTTCCACACAGGTTGAGTTTTGAGACGTCTCAAAACTTGACACGAATCAACTGGACAGGCATGAGAGTGCAATGGTCAGCGTGTAGTGTAGAATGCAGCTCTCCCTTTCCACACAGGTTGAGTTTTGAGACGTCTCAAAACTTGACACGAAACAACTGGACAGGCATGAGAGTGCAATGGTCAGCGTGTAGTGTAGAATGCAGCTCTCCCTTTCCACACAGGTTGAGTTTTGAGACGTCTCAAAACTTGACACGAAACAACTGGACAGGCATGAGAGTGCAATGGTCAGCGTGTAGTGTAGAATGCAGCTCTCCCTTTCCACACAGGTTGAGTTTTGAGACGTCTCAAAACTTGACACGAAACAACTGGACAGGCATGAGAGTGCAATGGTCAGCGTGTAGTGTAGAATGCAGCTCTCCCTTTCCACACAGGTTGAGTTTTGAGACGTCTCAAAACTTGACACGAAACAACTGGACAGGCATGAGAGTGCAATGGTCAGCATGTAGTGTAGAATGCAGCTCTCCCTTTCCACACAGGTTGAGTTTTGAGACGTCTCAAAACTTGACACGAAACAACTGGACAGGCATGAGAGTGCAATGGTCAGCATGTAGTGTAGAATGCAGCTCTCCCTTTCCACACAGGTTGAGTTTTGAGACGTCTCAAAACTTGACACGAAACAACTGGACAGGCATGAGAGTGCAATGGTCAGCATGTAGAACACAACTCTCCCTTTCCACTCAGCATGTAGGCGCCTCAAAAGCTGAACAAATTTTGGACAGGCATGCATGAGAGTGCAATGGTGACTGGTCAGCATGTAGAATGCAGCTCTCCCTTTCCACGCAGGTTGAACAGCCTAACTAGCATCCAAGTGGGAAGTGGGAAGCATACCTTGCAGAAACCACCCCACCAGAACCTGTTAGTGATGAAAGGTCAGGGGAGAATAGGGAAGAACACAGGGACGGGAAGGCAGAACAAGGGGGTGGGGGTGGGGAAGGGGTTGTGAGATGGTATATGTGTGTGTGGCCACTGTGGTGCATGTGTAGGCGGCCACACGTATTGAAACGAATCAAAGCCTGATGATATTTCTCTGTATGGTATGGTGCATGCAGCATGCGTAAGCGTGCACAACAATTGGCCGATAATGTTGAAGGGGAGGGGGGGAAGGGGGAGAATGCGGACGACCACAACCCATTAGACAGATTCAAATCTGACGAACCCACGACCGCATGATTTTTTTATTATTATTTATATACATGTATATACTAATATCAAAACTGAACTAGAAGAACCCAGTAAATAGATAGATCCATCTACTTTTCCACATGGCTCCGCTGCTGCCCTCTGCACTGGCAGCAGTGGCCTTCCTTCCTACCTACCATGCATGCTGACTTGACAATGTGCACACACACAAAGACCCACCGTCCGTCTGTTCCTCCCTTCATCCATCCACATCCTCCCATACCTCCCATCCCTCCCCTCCCTCCCTCCCCTCCCTCCCATCCTCCCCGTCCCTCCCATCCCTCCCATTCCTCCCATCCCTCCCCTCCCTCCCTCCCTCCCATCCTCCCCATCCCTCCCCTCCCTCCCTCCCTCCCATCCTCCCCATCCCTCCCATCCCTCCCATCGCTCCCATCCCTCCCCTCCCTCCCTCACTCCCTCCCTCCCTCCCTCACTCCCTCCCTCCCTCCCTCCCATCCCTCCCCTCTCTCCCTCGCTCCCTCCCTCACATCCCTCCCATCCCTCCCATCCCTCCCCACCCTCCCATCCCTCCCTCCCTCCCATCCCTCCCTCCCTCCCTCCCTCCCTCCCTCCCTCCCTCCCTCCCTCCCTCCCTTCCTCCCTCCCTCCCTCCCATCCTCCCCATCCCTCCCTCCCTCCCTCCCTCCCATCCCTCCCATCCCTCCCACACATCCACTTCCCTGACCTGCGGCCAAAGCAGGAGTGCAGGGCACGCAGCAGCCACGGCTTGGGGCGCCCCTTCTCCTCCCTCCACACGCTCTCAAACCTGTCGGGATTGGGCGGAGGCGAAAACAGCCGAGCGGAGAGGCGAGAGAAAAGCGGAGTGCAGAGGCGAGTCGAGAAGATTTGCGAGCGTGTCCGTATGGGCAAAGAGTCGTGTTTTGAGTCGACTCAAAATGCGAGAGTGCCCGTGTGGGGAAAGAGTCGTGTTTTGAGTCGACTCAAAATGCGAGAGTGTCCGTATGGGCAAAAAGTTGTTTGAGTCGACTCAAAATGAGAGAGTGTCCGTATGGGCAAAGAGTCGTTTGAGTCGACTCAACTTGCAAGCGTGTCCGTATGGGCAAATCAGGGCAGTCATGGCCTTAAGGCAGGGTACCCCTTTTCCTCCCTCCACTCACGCTCAAACCTGCCGGGGGGATGGGTGGAGTGGAGGTGAGGAGAGAGAGCGAAGACCAGAATCGGTCGTCATCGCTCATCTCAGCCGCCACACATCGCTGCTGAGCTGAGCTGGGCTGGGCTGGGCTGGGCTGGGCTGGGCTGGGCTGGGCTGGGCTGGGCTGGGCTGGGCTGGGCTGGGCTGGGCTGGGCTGGGCTGGGCTGGGCTGGGCTGAGCTGGGCTGGGCTGGGCTGGGCTGAGCTGGGCTGGGCTGGGCTGGGCTGGGCTGGGCTGGGCTGGGCTGGGCTGGGCTGGGCTGGGCTGGGCTGGGCTGGGCTGGGCTGAGCTGGGCTGGGCTGAGCTGGGCTGGGCTGGGCTGGGCTGGGCTGGGCTGGGCTGGGCTGGGCTGGGCTGGGCTGGGCTGGGCTGGGCTGGGCTGGGCTGGGCTGGGCTGGGCTGGGCTGGGCTGGGTTGGGCTGGGCTGAGCTGGGCTGAGCTGAGCTGGGCTGGGCTGAGCTGGGCTGGGCTGAGCTGGGCTGGGCTGAGCTGGGCTGGGCTGGGCTGAGCTGGGCTGGGCTGAGCTGGGCTGGGCTGAGCTGGGCTCAGCAATGGCATCGCTGAGCTGAGCTGGGCTTCGCGCCACTGCATGGCATCGCTCAGCTCAGCCGCCACACATCGCTGCCTCCAATGGAGAATACTTGGTGGGTGCGCTCGTCATGTGTCTGTTATGTGTCAGAGACAGGTCGCAGACTCACACACACACGCTCACCTGCCATACATACACCGTGGCAGTGCGGTCACCATCATTCAGAGGCCACACATCGCTGTGCTTCAACGGGCAATTGGTCCCACTCATGTCCCACACACCCATAGACCCATGGACTCATAGACACACAGATCGACACACACACGCGCGCGCGCGCGCACACACACACACACGCACACACGCACACACACACACACGCACACACACACACGCACACACACACACACGCACACACACACACACCTGCCATACACCTTGGCAGTGCGGTCGCCATCGTTCAGGCGCCACACATCGCAGTGCTTCAACGCGCAATCGGTATGACTCATGCCTCACAGACCCACCCATAGGCTCATAGATAGAACCACACACACTCAACCCACACACACGCTCACCTTCCATACACCGTGGCAGTGCGGTCGCCATCGTTCAGGCGCCACACATCGCTGTCCTCCAACGGGCGGCGGTACCCCAAAGCCATGAGAGGCGTCATCCACCCAAACGTCAGGCCTGGGGGGAGGAGAGGGAGGGGCAGGGAGGAGGGGGGAGGGCGGAGTTGAGACATCTCGAAACGTGGCACCCCATGGCCATGAGAGGTCATTCCAATCCACCCAGACATCAGAACTATAAGGAGGAGGGGGGTGAGGAGGGAGGAGGGGGGACGGGGGGGTTGAGACATCTCGAAACGCGGCACCCCGTGGCCATGAGAGGCGTCATCCAGCCAAACGTCAGACCTGGGGGAAGGAGGGAGTGGGGAGGGGAGGGGGGAAATGGGACCAGTCAAGATGCTGCATTATTGAGGCGCCTCAAAAGGGGAAAGGCGGAAGTGGGACCAGTTAAGATGCTGCAAGACGGTTCCATCCATGGGGCTAGTCAAGACACTCCTAGGGAAGGAGAAGGGTGCTGGCTCGGAGAAACTCAGTTACAGCTATTGAGACGTCACAAAAGCTGGCCCGGAGACTTTCCCCTTGTGAGACGTTACACAAAAGTCGCTCTTGAGACGTCTCAAAAGCTGGCTCGGGGAGAAGCTCAGTTACAGCTCAACAGCACCCTCTTCGGGTTTAACATGTAAGGTAAACGAGCCTGAGGTTTGGGGTTTAGGGATCATATCAGATCAGATCACATCAGAGGTCATGGCTGACGAAGCTCGGTTTTAAGCTGAGGTGCCACACGTGCACTGTTTGGGGTTTTAAGGTGTAATGTACAACGGTATGAGCGCTGGGGTTTAAGAAACAGGTGAGAGCTAACAGTACGGTTGATGAAGCTGGTGTGGTCTTCCGGGCACACCTGCCCCTGGTTGTCTCCTCCCTCCGCCTCCGCTGCTTCTCCTTCCGCCCCACCCACAGGCCCTGCAGCCAAAGGCACATACCCCGCACCACCACCACCACTCCCTGCTGCCCCTGCCGCTGCTGCTGCAGGTGGCAAGAACGGTGCTGCTGCCTCTGCCTCTGCGGCTGCGAGGGCGGAGGAGGAGGAGAGGCCTGGCGAAGGGTGCTCTTGTGGGAGCAGGTTGGGGAAGAAGAAGAGCGCGAGCAGACCCAGGAGCACCTGGGGGTGCAAGTAAGGGGGAAGGAAGGGGAAGAAGGGGGAGCAGGCTGGGAGCAGGCTGGGAGCAGGTTGGGGAAGAAGAAGAGTGCGAGCAGGCCTAGGAGCACCTGGGGTGAACATGAGGGAACAAGGGGGAACAAAGGGGGGTACAAGGGGGGTGCAAGAGGAAGGGGGGGGGAGGGAATGGGAGAGAGAGAGAGGGTGGGGAGGAAAGGCAAGGGATGAAGGGATCAAGCAAGCGAGGTTGAAAGGGGAGTGGAAGGAGGGGGGAAGGAACGAGAGGGAGGAATAATGACGACAAAGGAGAGGAAGAAGAAGCAGAGGAAAAAAAGAGGGCCAGCATGACTGGAAAGACCTGAAGCATTCCAGGCAAACTCACGAACAAAGGAGATGCAACGAAAGGGGGAGGGCGGGTGAGGAGTGGGGGTGGGGGCTCGGCTCGGAGCGGAGGGTAAAGGAGGAGAAAGAGGAAAAACAATTGTGTCAGCTGAAAGAGTGATTGGAGGAGGGACTTTATGCAACTAAAGTCTCGCTCTCTGTTGCACAAGAGTTGCCATTGACACTTACATGGGCTGATGTGTAGCCAAAGAAAAGCTCCACAAAGAATCTGGGAAGGAAGGAAAGAATGCAGACGAGGAGTACGCAAAGGGGAAAAGAGCAAAAATCAGTCACGAAAGAAAGAAAGAAAGAAAGAAAGAAAGAAAAAGTGGAGGAGAGGAAATGAGCACAGGTACAACAGCAGCCATGCACCAGGTTACCAGGCTACAAGTACAATCACCCCACTCTATTCCATCCCATGCAAAGTACTCACGCCTGGAAGTCCTGCTGCAGAATGAGCACGAATCGCAGCTTCGCCAGCTGTCCCACCATCACATAGAGCACTGCGAATCGCAGCAGCCATGCGCCCTTCACTGCCATGCGCTTGCGCTCCCAGAAGAGTGCCGTTGCAGTGAGCGCCCAAGCGAGGAACGCGAGGATCAAGGAGCAAACCTGGGAAAGCATGGGATGGAATTGAGATGAGGAGAGCAGGAAGAAAGAAAGTAGGTTCAACTGCAGCAGCCACACATCCTTCACTGCCATGCGCCTGCGTTCCCAGAAGAGCGCCGTGGCCGTGAGGTGAGGGCCCAGGCGAGGAACACGAGGATCAAGGAGCAGACCTGGGGAGATTGAAACAGGGAGCAGGAAACAGCGAGACTGAATCGCAGCAGCCACATGCCCTTCACCGCCATGCGCCTTCGCTCCCAGAAGGACACGAGTTTTTAGTCGACTCAAAAGTTGTCTCACCTCACGGAGTTCAGGGAGAGAGAAGGAATAGCAGAGGAGAGAAGGAATAGCATTGCGGAGAACAATAGCATTGCGGAGAACAATAGCATTGCGGAGAACAATAGCATTGCGGAGCAGACATAGGGCAATAAACAGTGAGGCTGCATTGTAACGCGAAGCATATAAGGAGTGCAGCTCTAACCTCATAAGGCGGCAGATCCGCATGTGTGGAGAAGGAGCTCAAGGACACGGTAGAGAGAAACTTGGGTCGTCTCGGAAACCGCACGCCTTACCTCAGTGTGTGGTACCTCGTAAGGCAGTAATCCGCATGTGTGGAGAAGGAGCTCAAAGACACGCGAGCGCGATATTTGAGTCGGCTCGTAAACTTTATATGTGGTACCTCATAAGGCGGCAGATCCGCATGTGTGGAGAAGGAGCTCGAGGACACACGAGCGCTCAGCTGCCTTTTGAGTCGACTCAAAAGTCACTTTGCCACGTAAGCTGGGCCTTACCTCATAAGGTGGTAAATCCGCATCTGTAGAGAAGTGTCAGAACATATATATAGCTTATGCTGTTGTGTAGGCTATAGTGGGGTATCCCATAGGGGGTACAACCCAATTAGGGTTTCCTATATGTACTCACTTCATTCATAGTTCATCCATCCTCGTTCTCATTGTCACATGGAATCAGAGCAGGTCCCCTCCTAGGGACTGTTCCTTGGGCCCACCGAAACGCGCCTCGAGTCGCGCCTGCCCCTCTTTTTTTTAGCGGCCCGTCGAGTCGCACCTAGCGGCCCGTAGCGCCGCCCTTACGGTCGCGTCGAGCCGCCATAGCGGCTGCGGCGCGCCGCCCCTTTTCCCGGCCCGTCGCCGCCCTTACCCGCGGCTTTACGCCGCCCTCACCGGCGGCTTCGCGCCGCCCCTTACCTGCGGCCCCGCCGCCTCTCTCGTTGCGGCCCCGCCGCCCGTCTTCGCGGCCCCGCCGCCATCTCTCGCTGCGGCCCCGCCGCCACTCACTGCGGCCCCGCCGCCCGTCTTCGCGGCCCCGCCGCCTCTCTCGCTGCGGCCCCGCCGCCTCTCACTGCGGCCCCGCCGCCCTACTCAGCGGCCCCGCCGCCCGACTTCGCGGCCCCGCCGCTTCTCTCGCTGCGGCCCCGCCGCCTCTCTCGCTGCGGCCCCGCCGCCTCTCTCGTTGCGGCCCCTGCCGCCCTTCCCTGCGGCCCCGCCGCTTCTCTGCAGCGGCCCCGCCGCCCGTCTTCGCGGCCCCGCCGCCTCGCTATGTCAGCGGCCCAGCCGAGCCGCCCAACAGCAGCGCAGCCGAGCCGCCCAGCAGCAGAGCAGCCGAGCCGCCCCGCCGCCGAGCCGCGCTGCAGCCGAGCCGCCCGGCCGCCGAGCCGCCCTGCAGCCGAGCCGCCCTGCTGCCGAGCCGCTCTGCCGCCGAGCCGCCCGGGAGCCGAGCCGCCGAGCCGCCCTGCCGCCGAGCCGCCCGGCCGCCGAGCCGCCCTGCCGCCGAGCCGCCCGGGAGCCGAGCCGCCCAGCAGCCGAGCCGCCGAGCCGCCCAGTCGCCGGGCCGCCCTACTGCCGAGCCGCCCGACCTGCCCTGCCTGGTGAGCACAGCACCACTGTTACTGCGTGCCCTTCCCCTACTGCTTGCACTACTACACTGTCGTCGTCATGGCTACCCCTAGTGTCCTCGCTTTTGACGCTGAGGGTCGAGCCATTGACTTTGAGGTCTGGGTCGACGACCTGCAGCTGTTCTTACAGTGCGATAGGGCGGACGGTCTTTCCCTCTTTGACCTCACCTCTGGCGCCTCTCCTGCCCCTGCTGCTGATGCTGACCCCACTGTTTGCTCTCAGTGGGCCACCCGCGATGCTGCTGCACATCTTGCTGTGCGTCGCCACCTGCCTACCACTGAGCGCGCGCACTTTAGTCAGTACAAGAGTGCTCAGACCTTGTACGACGCTGTAGTTGCGCGCTACTCTTCCCCTGCCACTGCTGCCCTTAGCCGCCTCATGCTACCGTACCTCTTTCCTGACCTTGCTGCCTTTCCCACTGTCGCTGACCTCATTACGCACCTCCGCACTAGTGACACTCGCTACCGCGCCGCCCTTCCTGCTGAGTTCTGCGCCAAGAACCCCCCCCCCATGTACATCACTCTCTATTACATAGTCACACGTCTCCCTGACTCCCTTCACGTAGTCAGGGACCACTTCCTCTCAGTCTGTCCCACCACTCTCACTGTCGACCTCCTCGAGAAGTCCCTCCTGGCGGCGGAGAAGAGCATCGTCGCTGTAGGAGCCTCTCGTGGTGACCCTCGCACCCCCATCTTTGAGGGGTGTTCTCCTTCCCCCCTGCTGCCCTCTGTTGCCTCTGCTGCTGCTGCCGACCTGCTTGGTCTTGAGTCGGTCTGCGCGGCGTCTGCCCCTAGCGGGAGACGCCGCCCTGGCAGGGGCAAGGGGGGCAAGGGCGCGGGTGGACCTGGCGGGGGCGGTGGAGGTGGCGGTGGAGGCGGCGGAGGGAGTGGGAGTGGCGGTGGGAGTGGTGGCGGGGGCGGTGGTGGCGGTGTCAGCAGCGGAGGAGGAGGCGGTGGCGGCGGCAGCGGTGGGAGCGGAGGCAGCGGTGGTGGTGGAGGTGGAGGCGGCGGTGGCGGAGGGGGTGGAGCTGGTCGGGGTGGTGCCCCGCAGCGTAGCGGCTCTGGTGGTGGCCAGCGTCAGCAGCAGCAGCAGCAGCAGCAGCGTTCGCGGGACATCCCCCCGCCCCAGCAGCTCCGTGAGTGGTACACGCAGCGTCAGCGGGGTGGGGGTTTTGGTCCGTGCACCTACGTCCTTCGTTCCGGCGACCGCGCGGGTGAGCAGTGTGGGGGTGCCCACCCCACCCAGCGCTGCTTTGGCCGCCTGACGGACGCTTGGCGTCAGCAGTTCCCCGAGGCTAGTGAGATTCCCCGTTGGGGAGAGCTGTCTAGGGCTGGCGTAGCTATCTTTGATCTTGACTTTGATGCTATCCTTGCTGCCATGTATGCTGTGACTATTAGTGAGGAGGGTGACTGTTACCGGTGTTTCCCGCCCGACCCGGGCATTGGTACTGCTGCGCCAGGTACTTCTGCGGCTGCTGCTCTAGGTGCCAGTGCGTCTGCACTCTCAGGTACTGGTGAGGCTGCGCTCTCAGGTACTGCGTCGGCTTCGGCCTCCCTCACCTTCACGCTTGACTCACGGGCTTCTCGCTCCTTCTTTCGAGACCGCACCACACTCACGCCGCTTGGCCGGCCGGTTGCAGTCTCCCTGGCTGACCCCTCTGGGGGTCCTGTCCTCTCTCACTTCTCCACTGTCCTCCCGTGTCCGGCTGCCCCCTCGGGCACCTTGTCTGGTCTGTACCTCCCCTCGTTCTCGACGAACTTGGTGAGTGGTGCTGACCTGCAGGATGCGGGGGTTCACCAGTTTACTCCTGCGAGTCAGCGGGTGACCCACTGCTCGGACGCCCGCACAGGCCGACACCTGGCCACGTTTTCGCGTCGGCCGGGGTCGAGTCTCTACACCCTGACCACTGAGTCTCCTCCTGTCCCTGCGTCTGGCCAGGTAGTTGCGTCGGGTCAGGTGTTTGCTGCTGCGTCCAGGTCTGGTCCTGAGTCTGCCCCCTGCTCGTGTCGCCGCCTGTCTCAGGAGACTCTCCTGTGGCACCACCGTCTTGGCCACCCCTCCTTGCCTCGTCTTCGGGGCATGGCTTCCCGTGTCCTTGTCTCTGGTCTTCCCCGGTCTCTCCCTCCCCTTCCCTCGGGACCCGGACCTTCCTGTGTCCCCTGTGTCGAGGGGCGGCTTCGGGCTGCCCCTCACTCCTCCCAGTTTCCCCCGACAGAGGCTCCTCTGCAGACGCTTCACATGGACGTGTGGGGCCCGGCCCGCGTCCGTGGGCAGGGTCACGAGCGCTACTTCCTGCTGGTGGTTGACGACTACTCGCGTTACACCACAGTCTTCCCCTTGCGCAGCAAGGGTGATGTTACTGAGGTGTTGATCGACTGGATCCGCGCAGCTCGTCTCCAGCTCAGGAGGAGCTTCGGCTCGGACTTTCCTGTTCTGCGTCTGCACTCTGACCGAGGTGGAGAGTTCTCCTCTGGCCTTCTGCGAGCCTACTGTCGTGCACGAGGCATCCGCCAGACCTTTACGCTTCCGGACTCTCCACAGCAAAATGGGATTGCTGAGCGCCGCATTGGCATGGTCATGGACGTCGCTCGTACGTCCATGATGCATGCGGCTGCCCCCCATTTTCTGTGGCCGTTTGCGGTTCGGTACGCGGCGCATCAGATCAACCTTCACCCCAGGGTCTCCCGGCCGGAGACCTCCCCAGCTCTGCTGTGGACGGGGAAGGTCGGCGATGCGTCTGCGTTCCGTGTCTGGGGATCTCGGGCGTTTGTCCGCGACTTGTCTGCGGACAAGCTGTCCCCTCGTGCTGCTCCCTGTGTCTTCCTCGGCTTCCCCCCTGACGCCCCAGGGTGGCAGTTCTACCACCCCTCCTCTCGTCGTGTTCTGTCCTCCCAGGACGTCACGTTCGACGAGTCAGTCCCCTTCTACCGCCTCTTCCCCTACCGCACTCCTTCCCTCCCCCCGCCACCGCACTTCCTTGTGCCAGGTCCCCCCCCGGTAGACCCCCTTCCCCCTCAGGGTCCTGCCCCTTCAGGTGTGTCCCAGGTAGACGCAGTCGAGCCGGTCGAGGTTGCTGGTGACTCTGGTCCTGCTGCGGGTGCTGAGCCTGGGGGTGCTGACTCTGGGGGTGCTACGCGCGTGGGTGCTGAGCCTGGGGGTGCTGAGCCTGGGGGTGCTGAGTCTGGGGGTACTGAGCCTGGGGGTACTGCGACTGGGGGTGCTGAGCCTGGGGGTGCGGAGTCTGGGGGTGCTGCGCCTGGGGGTGCTGCGACTGGGGGTGCTGAGCCTGGGGGTGCGGAGTCTGGGGGTGCTGAGCCTGGGGGTGCTGCGACTGGGGGTGCTGAGCCAGGGGGTGCTGCGTCTGGAGCTGCTGAGCCTGGAGCTGCGGAGCCTGCGGCCACTGGACCTCCCCTTGTGGCGTCTGGCGGTGCGGGACCTGGCGGTTCTCCGGGTGCTTC